TGAAATGCATTATTTTGCTTGTTCTGATGGACCTATAGCGAATTATAGGGAAATTTTCAAAATTTTGTCAAAGTAAAGCTAAAAAATTGCTTAATTAATAGATTAATTAATTTCTTACAAATAAGCTGTCAAAATTAAAAAAAATTGTGTCAAACATAGTTGAAAATTGTTTTGAAATGAATTATTTTCACTTTTTTCCTCGAATTTAAAGCGTTTTTCATCGAGAAAGTCAATAAATTGGAAAGATGTTAACAATATAGAGCAAAAATTGGGAAATTAATCCTAAAATGCCTTGATTTTTCAAGTTTTGATATTTAGGGTGTTTTTACTTAGTAAATTCAAAATATTTTGCTAAAACAAAGCAGATAATAAACTTCTATAAAATTAGGTCTGAAACGGTTTTACTTTGCTTATTCCGTTAAATTTAGTGCGTTTTTCAGATAGAAAAATACATAATTTGCCAGATTTGACCACCAAAAAATTACAGGTTTTGATAGTCTTGTGGTAACAGAAGTCAATGTAAACTTTTTTCAGTAAGAGGAAGGAATCGTTTGAATCTGGAAACCAAATTTGGTAAAAATTCAAGCATTTTTAATTTCGTGGCTTGCTTCGCCATGGTTTTCAGAGAAAACAGCTTATTGGAAAAATAGTTTTCTCTTAATAATTTATTGCTTAATTCAACAAATACAAATTAGAAATATATTGATTTGGTGCGAGATTATGTTACTAAATATATGATGTTAAGGTGTTTTTACCAAGAAAATTATTTACTTCAAGTATAAATGTAATTAAAGAAAGACTTGAACTCACCTGTGTTGATGCAAGAGAGCAAAGCATTTTTTACTACTTTTCAAAGATTGTGTAAAAAGAAAACTAAAAAATGTTTTTATTAAAAAACTAAAACATTTGAGATATTTAGTGCTAAGAAGAAAGCAGAAAATCGTTGAACTAGGTCTAAAATAATTTTTTTTTGTTATTAAGTTTGAAACGTATCATTGTCGCCTAATTTTATAAATTTAAAACTTTTTCACCGAGAAATTTACAAAATTTGATAGCTCTTGCGGAAACAAAGCTAAAATATCGGTAAACTAAGTGATATGTATTATTTTCTTTGAAATTAGAAGTGTGTTTTAGCAGGGAACTCAAACATGAAATATGTTAAAAATATTTTTTTATGAATTTCAGAAATGCATTTTATTTAGCTTATTTTGACAAAAGAAGGTTTTCAGCGAGAAACAAACCTGAAAAATCGCTAAGTTGAGTCTAAATCTGAAATCAAATATTTTTTATTAATAAAGTCAAAGAAAGAAAAACAAGAAATGAAATTGGAAAACTACATTATTTTGATGGATTTACAGCGAATTTCAAGGATACATGTAAAATAAGTTTTGCCAAAGTAAAGCTAAAAAATTGATGAATTAGAAATTAATTAATTTCTTACAGATAAGCTTGTAAAATTTGAAAAATTGTGTGAAAACATAGTAAGAAATCTTGTGGAAATAAATTGTATCCACTTTTTTTTCGTAACTATAACGTTTTTCATCAAAGAATTTAATAAATTTGAAAGATGTTAACAAAACAGAGCCAAAAAATTGCGAAATCATGCCTAAAATGCCTCGATTTCTCAAGTTTTAATATTTAGAGAACTAAAATTTTATTTTAATCCACCTCTGCTTGCAAGTCTTTTGATTTTAATTTGGAGAAAATGTTTAGCTAGAAATAAATTAATAAGATTGGAATCACAGCTGGAGCTGGAGCAAGCATCTAATTTTTTTTTGTTCCTCAAAGAAACCGARAAAAGGCAAACAAACCAAAGGAAATTACCGTTTTTGATTAAGGAAAAATATCTGTAGCAAAAAAGTCTTAAAAATTCTTTCTATTAATATTAATGTTCTGGGACTGAGGAATTGATGTCTTGAAAGCAAAATGAAAGTCACTAATTGCAAAAATGCAAATTTGGTGTAATTTTAAGTAAAAAATTTGGAGATTTGTGAATTCATAAATAAATGAGTTGAGAAAACATTGTTTTATTGCTCTTAGGTTTTCAAGATAAATATTACACACATGACACTAATCAAGAGTTTCTTAGTTGATACAAAATGAAAGCGTTAGAAAAAATTTTGTAGAGAATCTAAAAAAAAAATAGTACAGAAAATAAGTAAAAAAAACTGACCGTAGTTAAAATCCTATGGTTGAGAGTGATTCCAGCGTAAGAAATACAGTTAGGGCGAACACAGTGTGTTAAAAAAATCAAGTAAATTTTTCGATTCTTGATGTTCCAAATGTGCCAAGGACACTCGAGTAGAGTATCAAAAATGTTACCTGTCTAAAATACAGTGAAAATTTGCTCTAAATGTAAAATTTGACAAACCTCATCAATAAGCAATTGTCCTGAAACTGAAAAAATAAAAGCAATGAAGAGAAGACATATCAAAAATGACAAAACWCGCAGCCATAAAACCAGACTCATGGTGTTCATATACTAAAACGTAAATTTTAATTAAACTTTTACTAATTAGTACTTACGTTTAAGAGAAAAAAGATGACACTTATGGCACAGAGACCGGCAACTGGGAGAAAAAAAGGTAAACCGATTTGGACAGTTTTGTTCAATTTGGCAATAAATCTGCGATTTGTGATTAATTTAAAAATAAACCGTGCACAAAATACAAACTTTTTCAACGCAACATCTTGCTGGATACATTGACACAGTTGTCGGGAAATTTCCTCTTGGTATTCGCCACTGTGAATTTTTTTCCAGTCACTGAAAAAGTCAAAACTGGTGGCCATTTTGACAATAAAATTATTGAAAAGGTAAATTTGGACGTGTAAGTGTAGAGTTGCGTACAAAAACATGAAACACAATTGCACTGAAAAGTAACACAAAAAGGGAAACCCGATAAAGTACAAATGGTAGGGGATAAAAGCCCACTCGCCGAAATACTCATCAAAAACTAGAATACACAGAAAAAGGTTCTTCTCGTCGCCAAAAACCGGCAATAAAATAATTATCAAGAAAGCGAGAAACTCCAAAAAGTATAAATTGAGATTGTTAATTTTCCTAGACGTTTGAGACAACTCGTTTTGGTCCTTTTTGCTTGCTTCATCCAAAGACCAAGCAATTTCACCCATAATTTCATACAATTCGTGGATGTTTTTTTCTATACAAAACGAGAGAATTAAGCCAAAGAGTGCCTAAACAAGCTTTATGTATGTTTATCTCAATTTTTTCCATACTTACGACAGTTGTGATCATCATGATGGTGCTATACCTAGCCAATAATTCTAGACTTAAATGTGAGAGTAGAAAATGGATTTGAAGGAAATAAAAAGTTGTTTGGGAGATAACCAGCAAAAAAATGCAGGTTTTGGTAACCTTGTGGTAGCAGAAATCGATGTAAACTTTTTTCAGTAAGAGGAAAGAATCGTTCGAATCTGAAAACCAAATTTGGTAAAAATCCAAGCTTTTTAACTTACCATTCAATTTCGAGGCTTGCTTCGCCATGGTTTTCAGAGAAATCAGCTTATTGGAAAAATAATCTTCTCTTAATAATTTATTGCTTAATTCAACAAATACAAATTACAAATATATTGATTTGGTGCGAGATTATGTCACTAATGTTGTTAAGGTGTTTTTACCAAGAAAATTATTTCATTCAAGTATAATTAATGTAATTCAAGAAAGACTTGATCGCACTTGTGTCAAAACATTTTTTACTGACAAATTTACTACTTTTCAAAGATTGTGTAAAAAAACAAAAAATGCATTATTTTTCCAAGTTTTGATTGATTGAACGTTTTTTATTGAAAGACTAAAACATTTGAAATATTTAGTCCTAAAATAAAGTTTACAGAACTTTTTTCAGCGAGAAATTTACAAAATTTGATAGCTTTTGTAAAAACAAAGCTGAAATATTGGTAAATTAAGTTTGATATGTATTATTTTCTTTAAAATTAGAAATATTTTTCAGTGAGAAACTCAAATATGAAATATGTAAAAATATTTTTTTTTGACCAACGAGGGCTTTTCGGCGAGAAACTCGCAATATTTAAGTGTTTTTAACATAACTGAAAAATCGCTAAATTAAGTCTAAATCTGAAATCAAATATTTTTTTATCGAGAAAGTCAAAGCGGGAAGAAGAAGAAATCAAAATTAGGAATATTTTGCCAAAACAAAAAAAAATACAAAACTACACCTGAAATGCTTTCACAAAATGCTTTGTTTGCATTATTTTGCTTGTTCTGATGAATTTTAAAATTTGATAAATTTAATTTTTTAATTTATTATTTTTCTCCTATTATGAATTTTTTTATTGCTTTGTCAAGGTAAAGCTAAAAAATTGCTTAATTAATAGATTAATTAATTTCTTACAAATAAGCTGACCGAATTTGAAAAATCGTGTCAAAACATAGTACATAGAAAATTGTTTCGAAATGAATTATTTTCACTTTTTCGTCGAATTTAAAGCGTTTTTCATCGAGGAATTCAATAAATTCAAAAGATGTTAATAAATTAGAGCAAAAAATTGCGAAATCAAGCCTAAAATGACCTGATTTTTTAAGTTTTGATATTTGGGGTGTTTTTACTTAGTAAATTCAAAATATTTTACTAAAACAATGCTGATAATAAACTTCTATAAAATTATGTCTGAAACGGTTTTACTTTGCTTATTTCGTTAAATTTAGTACGTATTTGAGATAAAAAATTACATAATTTGCCGGATTTTGTTAAAACAAACCTAAACAATTGGAAGATTTAGTCTAAAATGCGTTATTTTCTCACAAGAAGCTTTATAAATTTGAAATATTTTTTAATTCTTACCATGCAAAAATAATAAAAAAATTTGTGCAAATGATTCAAATTTTATTTTAATTTCAAGTCTTTTGATGTGATTTTAATTTGGAAAAATGGAATTTGAAAAATTGTGTCAAAACGTAGTAGAAAATTGTGCGGAAATAAATTGTTTTCACTTTTTTCTTCGTTTTTTATCGAAAAATTTAATTGTGCTGATGCAAGGGTATCGTAGGAAGCAAAGCATTTTTTACTGAAAAATTCATTGTTTTCGAAAGATTGTGTGAAAAAAAAAAGCAAAAAAATGCATTATTTTTCCAAGTTTGAATGAAAAAGTAAGTACATTTGAGATATTTAGTGCCAAAATATAGTAGAAAATCGTTGAATTAGGTCTGAAATAAACTTTTTTGAGATTAAGACTAAAACGCATCATTGTCCTTTAATTCTATAAATTTAGAACTTTTTTCAGCGAGAAATTTACAAAATTTGAAAATAAAGCTGAAATATCGCTAAATTAAGTGTGATATGTATTTTTTTAATTAGAAATTTTTTTCAGGGGGAAACTCAAATATGAAATACATATGTCAAAAATATTTTTTTTATGAAATTAATTTAGAGAGGAATTTTATTTTGCTTATTTTGACAAAAGAGAGCTTTTCAGCAAAAAACTCCCAATATTTTAATGTTTTTAACAAATAAGAAATGAATTATTTTCTAAGATTACGTGTATTTTTATTGAAAAAGTCAAAGAAAGAAGAAGAAGGAAGTCAAAATTAGTAATATTTAGGTAAAACAAAAAACGAAATTGCAAAACTACATTATTTTGCTTGTTCTGATGAACCTACAGCGAATTTTAGGGAAATTTTTAAAATTTGATAAATTTTGTCAAGGTTAATTAATAGATCAATTAATTTTTCACAGATAGGCTGCCTAAATTGGAAAAACTGTGTCAAAACATAGTACAAAATCTGGAAATGAATTGTTTTCACTTTTTTCTTCGTATTTAAAACGTTTTTCATCGAAGAATTCAATAAATCCAAAAGGTGTTAACAAAATATAGCAAAAAATTGCTAAATCAAGGCTAAAATGCGTCGATTTTTTAAGTTTTAATATTTAGGACGTTTTTTCTTAGTACATTCAAAAAATTTGGCTAAAACAAAGCAGATAATAAACCTGTATAAAATAAAGTCTGAAACGTTTTATTTTTGCGTTTTTCGAACAGAAATTTACATAATTTAAAACACACATCTAAAAAATTAGCATTTTTCAGACAGAAATTTACATGATTTGAAAAATTTTGTAAAGACAAAGCTAAAAAATTGGCAAATTTAGTCTAAAATGCATTATTTTCCAACACGAAATTTTCTAAATTCGAAATATGTTTTAGTTCTTACCATGCAAAAATAATGAAATTTTTTTCCTGCTACTTTTAATCCACCTTTTTGGAGAAAACATTTAGCTAGAAATAAATCAATAAAGAGATTTTCTGGAGCTTCAAGCAATCTGATTTTTTTTGTTTCTATAAAAGGCCGAAAGAAGGCAAACAAACCAATAAAATCATTTAAAAATAGAAAAAAAAACTGTTTTTAATTAAAAAAAGTTCCAATAATTTTGTTTTTGTCAATAATTCTTTCTCTTCAACGCAAGGTCAAAAAATTCTGTACCACTTTTCTCTTCCAAGAACCGTGTTAGTTGCAATGTCTCGCTGGTGCGGTAAAGTGGCCTTGATAACCGGCGCTAGCGCTGGCATAGGAGCCTCAATCAGCACCAAACTCGTCGAAGACGGCCTCCAGGTGGTGGGGCTGGCCCGTCGTTCGGACAAACTCCAAGAGCTCGCCTCTCGACTCCAAAACCTCCCCGGCAAATTTCACCCAATTATGGCCGACGTCACCGTCGAAGAGGACATCATGGCGGCCTTCACCTGGGTCAAGACCCATCTCGGGACCCTCCACATCCTCGTCAACAACGCCGGGATCGCCAAACCGGCCAGCTTGATCGATGGACCAACCGAAATTTTTAAAAAAATTCTAGACACTAACGTCCTCGCCCTCACTGTTACCACAAGAGAAGCGGTTAAGTTGATGAGGGAAAACGGAGGTGAGGGTCACGTGGTTCATGTTAACAGTGTGGCAGGTCATCGAGTAACGGATATTCCGCTCATGAATGTTTATTTTGCCTCAAAGCATGCGGTAACAGCGTTGGCCGAGACTTTGAGGCTGGATTTGAGGAGAGAGGGGAGTAGGATTAGAGTCACAGTGAGTATACTCTGCATCAAGTAGGTTGTAGTAGTCTAAATGAATCTTTAACTTAAAGGCTGTTTTACACAAAAAGTGTCATTAATATGTCATTCAGAATAAATTTAAGCACATTAATAGTGACAAAAGTCCTTGTTTGCTACCCTATCTTCATTACATTGTTTATTTTAATTATTTTTTGCTACCTGGGGCACACGTTTATTTGAAAAAATGATATGTAGGGAAATTTGAGGTTAGGATTGTTTGGATTGCACATTAATATGAAAACGAGTATATGTTTTTTTGTAAGAATTGTCTTGAAATTTGGTTGTTTTGTAGAGTTTAAGTCCAGGTTTGGTCGAAACTGACATTATTCGATGTTTTGACGGAAATCAGCAACTGGCGAAGGTGATAGAAATGGCCCCAAAGTTGCACCCTGAGGATATCGCCAACGCGGTTTCGTACGTTTTGGAGACACCTCCCCATGTACAAGTATGTTTTTGTATCAAGTGACTATTTTTTTTGTAATTTTGATTGTTTTAGGTCACAGAACTAACAATTAGACCTACCGGTTCTCTTTAAAATTTTGTTTTGTGCTAATTTTTTGTAGGACTGAACAAAATAAAGTTGTTTTTAACAGATTTTACCTATTTTTTTGTCTATTATTAAAAAAGTGAAAAAAGTAAAAAAAAATATGAAAGGTGTGCCAACCAAATTAAAATTCCTTTACCAAAAGATTTTTTACTCTGATTATGATGATCAAAAACTAAGAACTAAATTTTGGCAATTTTTAATCACTATGACGTCTAAGAGACGCAGAAAATTTTAGAAAAATAGTTTGGTGAAACGACTTTTGTAAAAGATAAACAATTTTGAATTAATTTTTTTTGGGGGGTTCAGAGATAGAGAGAAACTAATTTCTAACATAATTTTGGTTTGGAAAAATTAAGTATGTCTTGGAAATTAAAAAAAAAAGATTCTAAAGAATTTTTGTAATTACTTTTTATCGTATTTGCTACATAAAAAGCACTTTGCATAAGAAAAAATAAGCTTTTTGAAGATTTCAAGGCATACTGAATTTTTCAATACCAAAATTATATTGGAAATTAGTCTTTAACCAAGCAGGATTGAACCCCAAAAAATGGAAATTTATAGAAAAATTTTTAATCTTTTACAAGAGTCGTTTTGGTTTACAAAAATACATATACTGAACTTGAGAAACAAGAGATTATATTTTGTTCTAAAAAATCTATAGAATCGTTTCACCTATCCGGTGACACATGTATATTGCATTTTTTTCATTTTTTTTTAAGAAAAAACAACATTTACTGAACATGAAAAACAAGAGATATTGCGCTGTTCTAAAAAATGTATGTATGTATAATTTAGAAAATTGTTTTCTTACAAAAATAAAAATTTTTCTTTAAATTTTGGAGAAATTGAAAATTAAAGAAAGACGTAAAACATAATCAATTTTTGATTAAATTTTTTTTGGTTGTTTGGCACTGCTTGGTTAGAGAGTTAGAGACTAATTTAGTAATTTCTAACATAATTTTGGTTTTGGAAAATTAAGTATGTCTTGGTAACTAAAAAAAATATTTTAATGTCTAAACAAATTTTTTTAATAACTTTTTATCGTATTTGGTACATAAAAGGCTCTTTGCATTAGAACAAAATAAGTTTTTTGAAAATTTCAAGGCATACTTAATTTTTCAAAACTAAAATTATGTTAGAAATTAGTCTTTAACCAAGCAGAACTGAACCCCAAAAAATGAAAATTTATAACAAATTTTTTTATCTTTTACAAGAGTCGTTTCACCTATCCGGGGACACATGTATATAGCATTTTTTAATTTTTTTTCGAAAAAAACAACATTTACTGAACTTGAGAAACAACAGATTTTGTTCTGTTCTAATTTAGCAAATTGTTTTCCTATAGGAATTTTTCTTTAAATTTTGGAGAAGTTCAAAATAAAGGTTTAGTACCTACCTATTCTTAAAAAGAAATAATTTTCAAAAAAAAATGCCTGAAACTTTATTCTTAAATAATAAGAAAGTGAATCGACTTATGTAAAAAATAATCAATTTTTGATAAAATTTTTGTTTGGGTTTTTGGCCCTGCTTGGTTAGACAGAATAATTTCTCATAATTTTGGTTTTGGAAAACTAAGTGTGTCTTAGAAATTAAAAAAAA